GAGGTGATGCTCTCCCCAAGGACACTGGGTTATACACAGGGACACGTGCGGTTGCCACAGCGTGGAACTCCTGGCCGGGGATGCTGCCCAGCACCCTGCAGTGCCCCACAGAGTGCACCAGGCCCACCATGTACAGCGCCCAGGACACCTGACCAGCCGTCTCTCCAGACTGTGGCCCTCACTGCCTGCCCCAGGCCTGCACGGCAGGTACACAAGCTCAGGATCCCAGTGGAGTCGACCAGTGGGCACCACACACTGCCAGGGTCTCCACCCAGACTCTTGCACACCTCCATGCTTATGGACACCTTGAGCTCAGGTGTCCACATGGGGGCTGGAGACACGGTGGGGACACATGACAGGACCGACCGGGAAAGAGTGAAGGACAGCATATTTCACAAAGCAATTTACAGCAAACCCTGCAACGCCATAAATCAGAGGGTTAGTGAGGTGCAGCCCCGGGGCACCCGGCACTTCAGATCTGGGGTTCTGGGCTTCCCTCTGCTTGTCCTTCTCCTGCCACCACCCCAGCCTGCTGCCACCTCCCCTGGGCCAGGCTAATCACCCAGAGCAGGCAGCGTCACTACAAACAGAAGGAGCACAGCACTCGGAGGGGCAGAGGCAAGCTGGCTCCATTTACTGAATTAGGTCCCAAGGACCCCAGGGTGCAGGTGAGGGAGCCCTCCAACCAGTGCCAGCTGCTGCCAGCTAGTCATAGGGAATGGGAGTCACAGGGGTGCCAAGTGGAGATCTCCAGAAAGAGTGCCCGGGGATCTGTGTCCATCTGTCCTCACCCCAAGCAACCCTGCTCAGATGCCCCCAAGAGTGCCAGGGCTTCTCTAGGGGTGACTGAGTGCAGTTTACTGGGGCCCCTGGCCATGCCAACATAGCCTGCAATCCGCTGGCTCTGTTTAATCTGTGGTCAATCCTCCCCCAGGCAGGTGGCTCAGGGACAGGGTGAGACCCCAAGAATAGGCCCTGAGTCCATCGGTGCAGCAGGCAGTGCCATGCCACCCACGGCGGGCGTGCTGAGCTAATCCAGTGTGGCAGGCGGCTTATAGGAACAATTCAAGTTCAGAGCTGGGGAGGCTGGAGGGGGGCTGCAGTCCTCCTCGGGAGGCAGCTGTGCCTTTGAGCTCCCCGTTAGCAAGCCCCCTCCCCGCCACGAGCCTGTGTGCTCTCTCGTCCAGCCAGGGAGCAGGGCTCGGGAAATCAGAATGCAGGGAGGCTGCCGCCACCAGCCCACCCAACTGCACCCCACTGCTGCTGTGGCTTGGCCCCTGCACCTCCAAGGGGGCAAGTAGGGAAACAGGAAGTGGAAGGGCATGCTGGGCTGATCGCTGATGAGACCTTGGCACTCACAACCTTCTGTCCTTTCAAGGTCGCCAGCCTGGGCCAGCACTCCATGGGGGCACTGGCATCACCAAGGCCCAGGGCAAAGCCATGTCACCACCATGGGATGTGCTCAGGCAAGGAAGGGCAGGCTGGGCAGTGCCTCTGAGTCACACGCGTGAGAAGACACCCACATGGCCATGTGGGGGCTCAGTCAGGGCTCAGCCGCCAGCGGCACATCCTGTCACAGCAGCTACAGGGACACGCATCCTGGTGGTGGCCTTGCTGCCACCTCCCAGAGTCCCATCCCCAGGGATCCAGGCTGCCTCAAGGTGGGGAGCAGCCCTCAGGGATGCTGAGTTCAGAGTGCTCTGTGGCCCTGTCCTGCCACAGTCCTGTGGGTCCCGCTGGGTTGGTTTCACTCCCACTGCAAAAATCAACCTACAAGCCAGGCATGGTGGTGCATGCCCATAATCCCTGCACTCTGGGAAACTGAGGCAGGAGGATCACAAGTTTGAGCCCAGCCTGGGCAACTTAGTGAGACCCTGTCTCAAAAAAACAAAAATAAGACAGGGATGTAGTTCAGTGTGAAGGTCCTAGGTTCAATCTCAAGCACCGGAAACAAAAAAAGAACTGATTTGTGGGGTCTGGGGCACAAGAGTTCCTGGACAGGGGCAGTGTGTGACAGCAGAGCTCTAACTGGGTGCTGGGCACTCCTCCCCCATCAGCCCCACTGTCCCTCCAAAGCTAGAGACGTCTGCAAGGCGGGGGCTGCAGTTGTGCAGCTCAGTGGCTCTCAGTGTCTGGGGTGCTGGGCACAGGCTGTGAACGACACCCATGCCCACAGCAGCCAGAGGAGCTGTTCCATCCCCTACAGGACAGAGACCAGGAAATCTGTGCTCAGGACTCGCCAGGAGAGGCCTACAACAGCCAAGAGAGAACAGAGTAAAAATGCCACCGGACCAGGAGTCTGATTGGGCAGACTCCACCCCCTGGGACATTGGGCCACATCTGGGGACATCTATGGCTGTCATACTGGGGAGCTCCTGGCATGGAGCAGGTGGGAGCTACTCGGCACCCCACAGAGCACGGCCTGGATCCTGATTTAAACCAAACAGCCAGTGTCTGAGGGGCGGGGCACACAGCATCTGCCCTCACTGCTCTCCTATCCCTTTCCATTCCTGCCCAGGACAGTGCTAGAAAATGACATCCCTCAGCCGGACGTCCAAGGTCCTTCAGAGGTCACCAGCCACAGAGGGCAGGGCCCATCACAGCAGGAGCACAGGAAGGGTACAAGGGCCTGGACTGCAGAGCATGTGGGCAGGGAGGGCACCTGCAGAGTCGGTGTCACCTTCTGCCGGCCTGGCATCAGCATGTGGTGTGGGTGAGTGGGACCTGACCGCAGGCCCAGACTCTCCAGCCCCGGAGCCTTGGCGGTGTGGCTGGCTCGGGGTTTGGGGTGAGGTGGCAGCCACCTGGTGCGCTCCTCCGGAGAGCAGCTATTTTTGGCTCTGGGCTGTTGGCACTGGCGCTGCAGGGTGGAGTGGCCTTGGCCACACGATGGACGATGCCGCTGTGCCCCAAAGACACAGCCTCAGGCACACGGAACCTGACTTCTCTGTCATCACCACAGGCCACATGTCCTGATTTCCCCCAAGCTCTGAAGATGTAGAAATCACGCTTGTTCTGCAGACTAGATAAAAACTGCTGGCTGGGCCTGGCCTGAGGGCCTGGTCTGCACCTTCTGACCGAATGCCCACTTCGGATGGAAGCCTGGGCAGCATGTAGCCCTCTCAACCTGCCACTGCAGAGCCCAGGGGAGGACAGGCAGGGACTCAGCCTCTGAGCACAGGGCACAGACGGCCTCCTAGGTCCTTGACGTGTGTGTGACAAGCAGCTGGCCCACAGGCAAGTGGACAGCGCCCAGGCCAGGGGAAGCAGCAGGGGGGCGTGGAGCTCCTCTTCCCTCCTCCCATGCAGGGGATGGAGAAGCCCCAGGCCCCAGCCCAACCGTTTCCTGCCTCTCATCCGTCCCACTGTTCCCAGGAGAGCCACTAGAGCGGGGATTCTGCTCGCACTGGGACCCACTGCCCCGTCTCTGGCAGTGCAGCCCATGAGCCAACCTCAGGCTGGCCCTCACCATCCTGCACTGCCAGCAGAGGCTGGGGCACAGCCCCCGGCACTCCGCCCAGATGCGCACCGAGCCACTTGTTCAGCAATTTCACGCTCCGCCACCTAACAATGTCAGCGTGGAGGCCCGATCCAGGCCGCACTTCCCAAGTGTCACTTGTTTGTGAACACACGGCTGCACCCAAAATTGCCTTTCATGTCTGGGCAGGCCCCACGGCCTGTGCAGTGTCGGCTGTGACAGCATCTGCGGGACACGCCAGGCTGGGCCCCGAGGAGACAGGCCTACGACCACATGGCCTGGCCACCGCACCATGGCCCGAGATACTTAATTAATCTTTCAACTCAGACTTGAGGAAGTACTGGTCTCTGGATCCATCCTCACCAAGCCAAGCTCAGGATTTTTGCAGAGAAAATCCCACTGCCCACCTCAGAGCTACACTCAGTCTCCCGCCATGCGCCTCTAGCCTCTCCGGAACCGCGCCTGGGCTGGGGTGCAGCTCGGCGGTGTGCGCTTGCCTACTACAGAGGCGAGGCCCAGGTTCCATCCCCAGTGCTGCAAAACACGGGTAAACGAAACCAGCACTGCAGCAATTAAGAGAAACAAGTAACTGGCACATAAAGGCAGGCGACAGTCCAGACCAGTGCACCCAGAGGAAACGTCTCTCCAGCCACCTACACCTCAGAGCACCGGTTTCCTAGCAGAATGCTCATCTGAATGACACACTCCGTTTAACCCAAAGTACCCAAAACACCAGTCAGTGTAAACACGCGTGAGCCACGCACGTGTCCCTCCTGCTCCGCTCTGTCCTCCGGCCTGAATACTGATGGGGTGACCCCACTCACACGCCTCTCACCACACAGGACTACATCTGAGGCCCCAGTGGCCTTGCTGGCCAATACAAAGGTCTGAGGTCCACAGGATGCTGAGTCATTCAGGGTCCGGCCTGAGGGCTCCCTCTCACCCCACCCTCAGGTCCAGACTGGGGGAACCCAGTTTGCCCCAGTGCTGGGCCCTGGAGGAACTGGCAGGGATGGCCTGCTGTCACCCTGGCTGGGCGAGCGGCCACACCTGGCTGCCATGGTGCATAAGGGACAGTCTCAGTGCTGTCTGAGGAGTACTGCATGGGCCAGGGCCATGTGGCCTGCACCCCAGGCTGGCGATGGCCTCCTCCAGAGCACTGGGTCAGGTGCCTGCAGGGACAGTCCCACGAGGAAACACCTTAGGGTGCTACGCACACAAAGTTCCCTGTCACACGTGTTGACAGTACAGTGTTTGGAGACCAGGAATGGCAAGCGACTGGGAAGCACAGACTTGTTCTCTCGCCTTCCATAACTTCCCACGATCCCAAGTCAGCAAGAAGCCCTCAGGCACTGAAGAGCAGGGTGCAGGGCCGGCCCTAGGCACAGGCTAAGGGGCTGCAGACAAACCAGAAATGGGACCAGGCCACCGAGCGACCCACCTTCCAGCTTCTCCAGCCTCAAGGTCAGGACCGCCTTGTTCGTACCCCAGAACCCCCGCCACAGCACCCTCGGGCGCCTACCTGTGTGGCCACTTTGCCGTAATCGATCCACCGCAGGGTGGCGAAATTGGTGGACTCTGCACAGTTGAACCCATGATTGAATCCCGCGTGGTAGCCATAGGGGAATGTGATCATGAACTCCCCGGCCTCCTGCGTGATCTGAGGAGGGAAAGCGGGAGGTGAGGAGTAGGGAGGACAGGTAGGGCCCCAGGGAGGAGTGAGGGCCAGGGGCAAGGGGGTTCCTGAGGTCAGGGGCCTGGCCGATCAGGCAAGGAACGTGGCCACCCCTCACCCCCGAGGGGACAGCAATGCAGGCCTCGTGCCCAATGCCTGCAGTGAGGGCAGGGTCCCCTGTCCAGAGGGGCTGTGTCACGCCTGCAGCCACTGTGACAGGCTCCTGTGCAGGCGGGGTCTCCAGAACAGTGTCCCCCGACACAAGAGGCCATGCACAGACCACAGGCCCAGAGACAACCTGCACAGAGTCCCTGCCACCAGCCAGGACCTTCCACAGCTCCAGGCAGGGCACTGAAGGAGACCAAGAGTCCACAGACGGCTTGCTGTGGGTGTGATGCCACGATCAGAGCCCCAAAGTGGAGCTGTGGCATGCGGAGCAGGCTCCGACAGCTGGACAGACTGGCTGCAGCCAAGCAGCCCAGGCCACAGTGACACAGGACCCAGGCTTCCACAACAGCCTCCGGGGCCTGAGGAAAGGGCAGTGCCCACCAGTGTTGTGGGTCACAGCCTCATCGAGCTCCCTGCCCCTTCCAGGGAGGGGACACTCAGGTGGCTATGCTGCCCTTGCTGTGCCAGCAACCACTTGGCCATCAGAGACACACTTACTGACAGATCGATGACAGATGACATCAGGGACCGGCTCCACTCACTGTGTCCTGTGACTTGGGCAAAGTGCTTCCCAGAGACGGGGCGTGGCCTGAGTCACAGGTGTGAGGCGCTTGGGTCTCAATGGTGACGGGCGGGGCTCTGGCCTCTCACGTGCCCTGAGGAGGACCCTTCCTCAGCCCCCGAGTGCTGTCACCTGGTGACCTGACTGCTGTCCTGCAACTGCACACATGGAGCCACATGCTGGGCACCTGCACACATGCCCCTTGCTTGGTGTCCCAACAGAGCTGGCGCCCACCCATCAGTCAGCTGAAGCCGGCCATGTGGACACCAGCTGGGTCACCATCTCCTCCTGAGGCACACAGGGACCTTCGGCCTGGCCTCTGCTGTGCACATGGGTGCACAAGTCCTTCTGGAGACGCATGTCCCTCTGAGCATGGGCTGCAAGGGACTTCAGGGCACAGGGCGTGTCCCAGGGTCCAGAGCCTGCCGGGTGAGGGGTTCTCCCTCCATACCAGGGCTCAAGGCCTCATGTGGATCCTGCCACACCTACGACCCTGCAGCACAACTTGTATGGATGCTGGACACTGAGTCCCTCCGCAGAGTCTGTGCAAACCTTTCGCCCTGATTTATCAGGTTGCTCATCCCTTCATTTTTCCCTTTTTTCTTACAGTCCTAGGTAAGTCAGAGCTTTTACACTGAGCTCCATCTCCAGCCCCTTTTACTTTTTATTTTGAGGCAGGGTCTCACTAAATTGTTAAGTTGCCTGGACTGGGACCAAACTTGCAAACCTCCTCCCTCAGCCTCCCAGAGTGCTGTGCCGCTCACGGGCTCTGGCTGCATGTCTTTGTGCTGTTGATTTTCAGGGGCTATCAGGCTGGCTAATCTGCACTTATTCCACTGGAGAGATGAGCAGAAGCCTCTGGATTCATTAAGAAACTGAGGAGAAGGCAGAGCCCTGGCAGGCGGGGAGTGGGTGGTGGGACCTGAGGGTGAGGCTTCCAGAAGCCGCCTCCGCCACCATGTCAAAAATCAATCAAAACTGACACAGCTGGAGAAAAGCCAGTCTTTAAGAACACTGCGATATTTTTCTTTTCAAATAATTAATTGCACCAGTCAAGGGAATTAAGTGTGCATTAAGTTATATTCTTTTGTTTTGTTTTTGTTTTTTGGTACCAGGGATCGAACTCAGGTCCTTTCGAGGCAGGTGGCAGAACCACTGAGCTAAATCCTCAGCCCCTGCATTAATTATATGTTTAAGCTCCTGTCCAAGTGACAGCGCGTGGGACAGGATAGAGTGCACGCTGGACTCTCTGGTCTGCCTCACTCCATGCTCTGGGGCAGTGGGGCAGGTAAAGTCAAACTTGGGGGCTTTTTTTAAGTACAATTGTTAATTTTCTCGGCCAGTGGAGCAGGCCCTGCAGTGCTCCTGCTGGGCCCCCTCACACCCCAGCCAGTGCCCCCTTGCTGCCCGCAGGCTTCCCGACGTGGTGCAGACTGGGCCTGCGGGTCGCAGGGTGTTGTATGCCAGAAGCTGCCAAGTCAGAGCCTTCTGGTGCACGGCTGGGACCCCCCAGTTTGAAAGCCAGATGTGAAGGGCTGGTGGCAGGCACTGGCTCAGGGGGACATGGGGGCCTTGTCCTGCCTGCTGCGCTTCCTGGGACCCAAGGCCCAGGACAGAGGCCATGCTTGGCTGGACGACAGGAAGATGATGTCCCTGTGCGAACAGCTACATCCCAGGGGCTGCGTTTGGAGCCCACGGTGTCTGTGTTCCATGCCACTGCTGTCAACACGAGCCCGACAATAAATTAGGAGGCACTGGGAATGATGGATGGGGTGCAGCTAAGTAATCCGTGGTGGAGGGGCTGCCAGCCCAACACCAGTCATGGGAGCCCAGCCGCAGTGCCTTCTGCGAGTGCATGTAGAATAAACGAGGAAATCCACGCAGATTGCAGAAATACACACTGTTAATTATTAAAAAGCTCTGCTATTGATCTGCTTTTTCTTCAAGAAGTAAATACCATTACAAGGATTTATAAGCCAAGAGTAGGGAGTCACTCTTTTGAAGGGCGCCAGGAATTCAGATGAGGGGTCCACGACTAGCTTCAGGGGGCTGTGGCACCACTCAAGGCCAGGAGGCACTGGGGCTGCTCTCTGCTGGCCGGACAGGGCCTCAGAGGACAGAGATGCTGGGTTTCTGGGCAGGGCCAGGAGTGAGGAACATAGCCACTCAGTGTCCACAGCCTCTGGCCTCAGCTGGAGGCCAGTGCCTGGGTCAGGCGGGGTGATCTTCCTGCGAACTGCAGCGCCATCTAGACTCAGACCGGGGAGATGGCAGGCACGCTCAGAGCACACTGGAGATGGAGGGGAATCAGCCCTGCTCATGTCCACGGGCCACCCACAGGAGGTGGCTCTCCAGGTGCAGAGGGACACGACGCCCACACGCACAGTGAATGGCTCCCCACCCGACCCACCACCCTCCCCAGCTGTGCCCAACAAGCAGTGCGCCCAATGCAGGCTGAGCTGCAGGCGGGCGATTAAAATGTCAGAAGCGATTTCTGACAAACTGACAGGAGGTGGATAGTAGGAAGTGAGGGCCTCATCACAGAGCTGGCTCCTAAGCCTGACATACTGCTCAGTCAGGAAACCTAGACCAGTCCTCGAGGGGCTTCACCACTGCCAGCCCATGCCTGTCCCAACCAGGACACAGGCCTGCACCCGAGCAGAGCTGTCTCCCAGGCACTGGCCCCTTGGGCCCCTGGGGACCCAATAGCACCTCATCTGCAACCCCTAGGTGTCCATCAGTGCAGCCACAGGGCCGGGAGCTGGTCACATAGCAGACCCTGAAAGATGGCACGCGCCACAGCCCGCAAGGGACAGGACCAGGACAATAGCTCGAGTCCCCCAGGGTGCACAAGGTCTTAGGCAAGGAGGGGTCTTCAGCAGCCACCCTACCTCCCACTTTTTTGCCTAAGCCTTAGTGTCCACTCCAGGCCCTGAGGAGTGGACCTGGTGGCCACTCGGACAGAGGGGCTGGCTAGGGAGAGGGGGAGCAGGGGAAGGCAAGCTGAGACCTGCCTCCCTCGGCCACTCCCTCTGCCCTCCCCCCTTGCACCAGAGACAGAGCCGCCTGCAGCAACCCCTCAGCCTCCCGCCGGCCATTGTTCCAGAACCTTCTCCAGTGCCAACATGCCACACTCCTGGAGCTGCAAACCCCTCCCTGGCGTCTGCCCAGCCTGTACACACCCTGCTGAAGGGGATCCCATACTTCTTCAGGATGATGGGCGATATGAGTGTCATCTTGTGGCGCAGGAAGGCGTCGCAGCCCTGCGAGCTCCCGGGGAAGAAGCCTAGGACAGAGAGAGGCAGCATCAGTCAGAGGCTGTACTAGGCCAGGTAGGTGCTGGGGGACCTGCAGGGCTTGGTCACAGCTCTGAGGACAATGAGCACCCAGGTCCTGCCCAGTGGCTCCACAAGATCTGCGGGGTGGACAGCGGGGATGCCCCCATCTGTGCTCCCTGCTTGGCAGGGGGTGAGCAGTAGGAAACAACTGGAGCCACCTCCCCACAGGAAGGAGCAGGGTGGTCTGGGTAACAGGACATGGGACATGGTCATTGTGCCGGCCTGAGAGGTGCATGAGAGAAGCCACATGGAGCCTTGTGAACCAGAGACCTTGGGACACGACTGGCACTCCCAATGTGCTCCTTCCTTCCAGGCACAGCGAGTCTGCAGAGAGAACTGGCAGCCGGGCCTGAGCCCTACATGGACAACTCTGGCTCTGTACCTCCCACACAGCACCCACCTAGGACACCAAACAACCTCTTCAGCCACAGTGTGAATTCACAGTGTGAATTCCACTTGGGGACACCTCTGTCCCCCAGCAGACTGTGCAGCTGATGAACCTTGAGCCGGAGTGAGTTGCACTAGCACATCTGGGGCCCATGTCCCTCCCTCTCACAGCAGATACTGACTCAAGACTCATGTTCCCTGCTGCCAAAGGGACGTCGCCGAATCAGAGGCCCAGCCTCTGCCCCCGGGACAGACCCCACGAGCCAGGCCAGGAACAGGTGGGGACTCTGCCCAGGGGCTCCCCTGGGCCCAGTGCACCACACCCCAGGCAGGTCATTGCTACTTAGGCACAAGGTGGGCACAGAGTGGGGGCTCCGCCACCCCCAGGGCTGGTGGGAGGCACCTACGAGGACACAACCATAAAGTTCCAGGGAGTCCAGGACCACTGAATCCAGCAACTTTCCCAGCGCTAAGAGCATTTCAATTAGAGTTATGACTGCCTGCCTCCGGGCTGCTGGCCACGCTGCGGTTCCTCTTTTTAATGCACAGTTTAAGTGGCTCTCATTAAAGCTCTAATAAAGGCACACATTTTAAGTGATTAGCACCAATAATGCGGCAGCACATTAATGCCCTCTCTGTGGGCCCCACGACTCTCCCGACGAGCCCATTCCAGGCGCACTAGTCATTCTCCATATTAATCTCGAAGCCACTCCCAATCCCCAGACAGAGCTGTGACAGCCCCCCAAAATGTGGCAGGGCCTGCTGGGGCTGCCGAGGGGCTCGGCCATTCCGCAGTCATCTGATGCCCCTCTCCGCCCCTGGGTAAGGGTCTGCCTTGTGAGGCCTCTGCACACAGCTAGGGGTGAACATGCCAGCAGGGCCTGGGACCGCAGGAGGGCCATGACAAAGAGGAGGAGGAGGGGAGACAGGTCGCAGAGGAACAGAGTGTGCAGCGATGAAGAGACTGGAGTGGTGAGGCCACAGGGAGGCCTGGCAGAGGCAGGCAAGGTCGCTTCTGACTCAGGGACTGTGACAGGGTCCGTGTCTGTCACCTTAAGCCACCCAACAGCAGCCACAGCAGGGTGGCACGCAGGGACTTTGCAGCAGGGCTCAAGGAGGGATCTTGAGCGGGTCATCCTGACCACCCAGGGCCCAGGTCCCCAGGGTCCCCTCAGGGGGCACAGGAGCGTGAGAGGCTGAGAGAGGCTGAAGGCGCCGTGCTGCCAGCTCTGCGGATGGAGGACGGTGCTGAAAGCCGAGGGCTGCGGGTGCCTCTAGGACCCAGGACAGGGACCAGGTACTCCCAGGAGCTACCACCAGAATCCCAAATTTCTGACCTACAGAACTATTAGTTCATGTTGTTCAAGCCATTAAATTTGTGGTTATTTGTTGTAACGGCAACAGAAAACTCATCAGGAAAACATCTCTTTATCTTTTAAATTAAAGTTTGTATTTTTAAAATGTACAATACACTAGGCATGGTGGCACAGGTCTGTGATCCCAGCACTCAGGAGGCTGAGGCAGGAGGATCACTGTAAGTATCAGGCCAACCTGGGCCACACAGTGAGTTGAAGTCTACCCTGGAATATATAATGAGACCCTGTCTCAACAAATCAAAAAAAAAAAGAAAAAGAAAAAGAAAAAAGAAAAGAAAAGAACAGAAGTACAATGGAGAAAACTGTCTTCATTTGTCTTTTGAGGGCTCAGATACATAATTGAACAGATCTTCGCTACAGACCATGCGGAACTGTACTTCTGTGGGAAGCAGGCACTGCTGGACTAGGACAGGCGCTTCCCACGAGAGTGGCCCCGTTTCCACTGGACGTGCTCAGAGGCAGGGCGCCTGGGCCTCATGCAGAAGCTGCATGCTCGGAGGGAAACAGCACCCTCCCTCAATACCATGGGAGGAGCCCCTGCAGGACTCCCTCATCAAGAGGGGCTGTCCCCGTCCCAACAGCACAAACCCAGTGGGGAGGGACAGTGTGCAATGGCTGTGCACTGGGCCAAAGGTGGGGAGATGACAGGACAGCACTGGGCAGTCAGGGAGCCCATGCCAATGCCAAGGGCAACTTCCACACAAGCCTCAGACTCCTGGGCCCCCATCACTGTCACCAGGAGGCTCAGGGAGACCAGAGCGGGTGCTGACGCACCTAGGTCCTCATTGCCCTCTCTTTCATATGCCCTGAGCTGCCCCAGGTAGCACTAAGATCGCCTGCCCCTTGCCCACCCTTTGAGATAACAGGGGTGAAGGAGTCCGTCAGCAGCTGAAACTCAGCCTGTGTCACGCTATGGCGAGGGGACAGGGACCCCACGACAGGGAGGGCGGCCCTTTCCTGAGAGGCACAATGGACACTGAGTCTGGCACTGAGACCAGGACAGGAGCCAACAGTGAGGACCAGGCCCTCGGCAGACACTATGCATGCAGGCGTAGCCACTGAGAGATCCTGACTGAACATAAGCAGTGCATCCTGCTGCCCCTGGGTGACCCGGCCTCAGGTGTCTGCCACAGCCACCTGACAATCTAGGTAAGGCATCTGGTATCTGCCTGGAGGTGCAGGCACCACCTGACGCCAGGAAATTAGAGCTTCCACAAGCCGGGGAGACCAGGTGCGGTGACATGAGCTGACCCGGGGAACCTGCTGGGTGCTCAGGGGCCTCGGTGCCAGCCCCACCTGGTGTCTGCCTTGTTTCTGGGACCCCCAAAAGACAAATGCCTCTGCCCAAGCACCCAGAGAGGATCTGGGCAGCCCAGGACAGCCCAGCAGGGCCGATGGCCGCAGCCACTGCACCCCTGCTCAGGTGCACCAGGGTCCTGTGGCTCCACCAGACCTGGACAAGCGAGCCAAGGTCACAGGCGGCAGCTGTGCCAGGGGAAACCAGGGGTACAGTGGCGCACACCTGTGATCCCAATACTCTGGGAGGCTGAGGCTGGAGATCGCAAACTCAGGCCCAGCTTGGACAACTTAGTGACTTAGCAAGACCCTGTCTCCAAATTAAAAAGGGCTGGAGTCATAGCTCAGTGAGAAGGCCTTGAATTCCATCCTAGTATAGAACACAACAGAAACAAAACAGAAGCCCAACAGCCGCCCTTCCTGAGTGGGCAGTGACCGCTCCCGCCTGGGCCCGTCCCGGCCAGTCCGCACCCTGCGTGGCCACGCCCACCCGCAGACACCTACCGATGGCCAGCCGCTCCAGGCGCTTCCCGTGCTCCGGCGGGATGGCATACCTGCGAGAGAAGGGAGGAGGTCAGAGAGGACACGCCTACTGGGTGGGGACGGACTCTGGGCAGCAGGGAAGGGCCGGCAGGCGGACTCCCGGGAGCAGGGACCATGGAGGCAAAGCCAGGCGTGGGGACACTCCCAACAGAACACGAGCAGCCCCGGGCGGAAGGGGAGCAGGGCCCAGGCGTGTAGAACAGAAGGGCCTCGGTTCTCAGGCCTGTTTCACTGGCGTCCTGGACTGGGCGCCAACAGGGAAAAGCAGCTTCAGGAATGAGAAGTTACACTCGTCACCCACTTTGTGAGTTTTATTTTTACACATTTTATATTTGAAAGATTGCTGGGGCTCTGTCATCAGTAAGGGAGATGTAAGGTGGGAGTTTGCAAACAGATGCCGCAGGAGTGACATGCCGCTAACGCTGCTCGCTGGCTGCTCGGGAAAGCTGGAGGCGCGGCTGCGGGGACTCTTCCCATGGGGACGGCTGCCCAGAGCCACAGGCTGGTGGGGAGGGTGCTGAGGAGCCAGCGCCAACAGACACACCAGCCCATCCACCCAGGACTCACACAGAACGGAAGCCGCACTGCCAGGCACTGGGCCAGGCCTGGGCACACGTGTGGCTGTCACAATTAGGGGAGCTCTGGACACGGGGCAGGTGGGGGAGGCCAAGGACGCTGCTCAGCACGTTGCAGTGCCCAGGATGCAGGCAGCCGGACGGAGAGCCGGCAGTGGGAGAGATGGGCCCGTCTCCAGTGGGGAGGCCCATTCCCAGCAAGGGGCTTGAGATTCTTCTAATAAAGAGGGGGTGGGGGGCCGAGATAAAGCAGACGTCATGTCGCCTGTGATCTACATAGAATGCTGCAATCAGAATCTGGGCACACTCCCAGGCACCTTCAGCCTCCTCGTTGTTTCCCAGTTTCCACTGTCTGGATGAAGCCGAGGTCATCCTTCCTCCAAGGCCCGTTTATCGTTTACACACAGATGATGGAAGTTAATCCTAATCCCAGCACCTAGGTGGACCCGGAGCCCCTGCCCAAGAGAGTAAGCCGCCAGAGGACAGAAGGAGCTAATTCACAGCTGCGGGGCTGGGATGATTAATGCAATATCCCCCATCTACAATGCAGCTTTCACTTAATTACCGCCTGTAATTGGGAGTTGTAAAGATAAGATTAATTGAATCTGGTGGATGTTAAAAGTTTAATACATTGCAACGTGGCTCCTCTGTTATCGGGAAGTACAGCTGGCAGGACGAGGCCCCCAGAGAGATTAAAAGGGCTCTCGGCTGGGAAGCGGGGTGGCTCTGGGGACCTCTGGACCGTGCTACTGGCAGTGCCCAAGAGCGAGGAGCACTACCACCGCACCCCTTGGCACAGGCCAGTGGCGGCCTTGTGGTGCCCAGAACCCTGATGCCGAAGCACATGCCAGCCCAGCTACCCCAGGATGGCACGGGCCATGCGAGAACCTCACCGTCCAAGCTGAGGTGAGCAGAGCCAGGGCTGTGTGCTTCAGGATGTACCATCACGGTGGGAGCCTCATGCCTAAACCCCCCGCCTCCCCGGCCGGGGCACCACCTCCACCTGGTGCTCTCGGCGTGTGACAAGGACCCAGGGCACAGGGCCGACACCGGCGAGATGGAGGAGGCGCTGCCACCCCTGGAGCTTGGCCCATGCCACCCTCATCACCACCTGCACCTGGCACCCACTGGGGCCTCCCTGACATTGGAGTCTGGCTGTGGAGGTGAAGAGAGCAAGGAGTGGAGACTTGGGCCGCCAAAGTCTGTTCGCTGAAGCTCAGGGCAGGGTGAGCATCTGTCTGGTGATTAGCAAGCAATTTCTCGGGGCTGTAAAGTAGAGTCGGTTTCATTGGTCACTGACATGGGGAGCCAGTCTGTCTCGCTCCCTGGGAGCTCAGTCCCTGTCACAAGGCCAAAATGCATCGCCAGAATCAGTTTCACCTCCTGCGACCCCAAGTGGCCCCATCCACTGGGCAGCAGTGGGCTCCTGCGGGGTTTCCTTGCCGTCTGGCCGCCTGCCCCAGGCTCACCCCCACCGGCCTGGGCAGAGGGCACTTCCCTGTCCTATCCCCTAGCCCCTCTGATCCTCCAGGCCAGCCTGGTCCCACCCTCTAGAGCACTCACGCCACAGCAGGCTGTCCGTGTCACTGAAAGCTCTAAGACGTTTGCCATCCTCCCCTGCAGCCGAGGACATGCAGGTCCACATGTGCCTCCCTCTGGCCCCTTCTGCCTCCCGTTTCTGAATGTTCTCCACAAAGCCCTGGAAGACTCTGAACTAGAAACTCGTGAACAGCCCGATCTGCATCTGCGCCAAGCCGTGGTACCGGTCTCCCTGGCAACTTACTGCAGGTGTCCCTGGCAGGATGCTGGGACTCAGGACTGAGTGCAGCACCCTGGCACTGCCGAGGGACTGGGCCAGGCGGCATTGGCCAGCTTCCTCTTCAGAAAGCACGAGGGGCTTCAGGAGAAAACAAAATGTGCTCAGATGAGGTGTCACGTTCACTCGCACAGGGGAGGCCCCAGGAGACAGACGGGCCCAGGCCTGTCACCTTGAGCTGGGGACATGAGACGTGTGAATCACACAATGGCTGAGAAACAAAACTCAGCCTAGGGTTAGGGATTTAGCTCAGTGGTTCTGCCGCCTGCCTTACAAGCGGGAGGACCCAAGTTCGATCCCCGGTACCAAAAAAAACCCCTAAAAAACAAAAACTCAGCCTAGCAGGTGAACAATTCAAGAGGCCACAGGGCAACACACATGAGGTGGAGCAAGGACACACTCCCCATAGAAGACTCCAGAAGGGCCGGGCACAGAGGCACACCCCTGTCAGCCCAGCACTCTGGGAGGCTGAGGCAAGAGGATGGCAAGGGCCAGCCCAGCCTGGGTGGCACAGTGACTTAGTGAGAGCCTGTCTTAAAATTAAAGACTAACTAAATAAAAGGGAGTGGGGATGTAGGCCAGGGAAAAGGCCATGGGCTCCATCACAGCACCACACACACAACAGCCCAGGCAGAAGTGAAGCCCTGAGTCTGGGAGGAACAATGCAGCCTGGGAAGGCAGGCGGCCCCAGGAGCTAGCTCTCCACCTTTCCAGGGCTCTTCCCTCCTACTCTGAAGCATCCTGAGCAGGGAATGTCTCCCCTCCAATAACTGCCACCTAAAAGGCAGAGCTGAGAGCCCACAAACCTGCCAGAGGGACAAACGCAGGGACTTGGGCGTCTCTGCCATGGCTGAGACCCTGACCAGGACATGAACTGTCTGAGCCACAGCCTGACGTGTCCAGGAGGGGACACACAGAAAGATGGAGCCCCACCCAGTTAGGCGCCCTCACTGTCACCCCAGCTACCCAGGAGGCTAAGGCAGAAGGACCGTGAGGTCAAGGCCAGCCAGGGAAGCTTAGCAAGACCCTGTCTCAACAAAAACAGAAAGACCAGGCCCTGAGCCACTGCATCAAGAGCCCACCTTCACAGAGTGGCCGTGGGTCCTCGCCCTGGAGGGAGTGGCCTTCCCTGCAGGCCGACAGGCCATACGTCCTGCTGCCACGCTGGCCTGGGAAGTGTCTTCCGTCCTCCACGGAGGATGCTATTAATAGTGTAATTTTCTTGGTGTTTTGTTTATTCCCCTGGAATGGCTTGATGGATGTGAATAATTATCAGACTATAAAAGCCAGCAAATGTGCTATTTTCTATCGCTCTAAATCATCAAACAAATAAAGTGTGAAACAGCATTTTTGAATATAATTTTCCCCTCTAATGGCTTAGAATTATTATCAAGAACAATGAAAATAAATAAGCAAATGCCTTTTGAGTTAAAAATTAAATGAGTGTGTCAGGAAGAGGAACACAGATCGTCTTGGGGAGCAGGGACCTGCTCAGCAGCCATTAGTCACCAGGGGACAATGAGCAACAGGGCTTCTGGAGTCATCACTGCCTACCCTCAACAAAGCTCTGGCCAAGTGGCTATCTGGTCACCTCACAGGTGGACGACACCCGTGTCCTGTGTGCCAGCCACTGGCCTCTGTGGCAGGGCAGCGATGCCTCAGGGCCTTTGCCTGTTCCCACCCCAGACTGCAGATGGCCGGGCCAGAGGGCTGAGCCCACAGCAACAGGGCGAGATCGCAGGAGGAGGGACGAGCAGTAGTCACCCCACAGGCCCCCACAGTGACGGGGCCAGGCCTGCCCAGCCTGTGAGGTTCCTGTGGGTCAGGTCAGGGCTGCCGTCCTCATGTGCCCCTCAGCCCCTGTAGGGATGGGAACCTCGGCACGGAGATGTCATATCCCATCCCTGCCCCCACCGGCAAGGCTCGTGACTCTGTTCTAGTGACAACAGGCAGACGGCCAACGGCGGCTGCGACACCAGGCTGCAGCAAGGAGGTAGTGGTGGTGGTAATGCCATCGCCTCATACTCTCGGTGAGGACAGGAGCCAAGAGCAGCCCAAGCAGAGCCCACTGGAAATGTCTGCTGGCCTGGCTCCTGCAGAAGGGTGAGGGAGTCCATTTCAGAGCATATGCACAGGGCAGGGGCAGATGCTGAGCGAGATCAAGATGAACAGGAAATGCAGAGGTAGAGCCACACACACCGCCCCACTCCGGTGGCACCAACACCCCATGCCCAGTTACAGCCCAGGCAGGAGGAATCCACCCACCCACAGCCCAGGAGGCCACAGGGACCCTATGCCAGCAACGTTTCTAGGGGCCCGAGTGACAGGCACATCGCTGCAGCCCTCACACACAAAGCCCAGGTCAAGGGCAGTTCCAGCTTGCTGCCCGACATCTCCAGAGGCCAAGCTGGATAGCAGCTGCTCTCGCCCTCCCCCACTGCAAGCACCCGCTATGGAGCCCTGTCTCCAGGCTGGGCCAGGAAGCTCCCTGCTCTGCTCCGGACCGAGAGCATAGAAAGGCCCCGAGAAGCCTGGGCCGGAGAACCAGTGCCTGCCTGACATCCCTCGACACCCAGTCTCCCCAGGTGACCTCTGTGTGTGGTACTTTCTGTGGGGTGAG